AAAGAAAAGTTATCTTCTCGCTGTAATCATCGTTTAAACTGGTCCACGATAAAGAAATGCATTGTCCAAAGTTTGCAATACATTATATTTGTTTTGCCGCATTGATATGTCAAAACATTGTACTTACAATTTGTACAAGTATAAGGTTAACTGTGAAAATCAGATTTCTCCAGCATTTCCACTGAATGAGTGCATAATTAATTCATTAGTAGCGTTTCGACAGAGCCATCCTTAAAAATATTTTATTGAAAATAACTTGTACTGTCAGTTCTTAGAGTGAAATATTGCTTCTTTCAGGTTTGGGGACCCTGCCATGGGCCGGAGAAAGTTATACGCAATACGGTTCTCACTGCAGTTCATTAATATTTACTGAGCGACTTTACTAAAGTTTAAACATTATTACCTTAACCAGGGCCAATATTGGTGGTGGTTCGGTTGGCTGAGAATGGTTGTCTGTTGACTCACTTGAAGAAAAACAGAAAAAACCCTTATGTAAACGACAAGTGTCATGATTCTTCACAAATCGACAAACTAAGGATCGCAAGAGACGTTGCAAATGGAATGTTGCACCTTGCCACCAAAAAGGTACGTGGCATTACCCGTTAAAAGAATAACTGAAGCTAATTCAAAATTCTCGAATCTGATTGGTTACCGGCAGGCTCTTTTTTTTACCGCAAAGTTGCGCAAAATCCAAAATTCTCGTCTTACTTACTTCAAAAAAAATTAAGATAAATATTATGCAGCAGTTTCTTCCAGAACAAGAGATTTCAGGCCTACAACAGATGTAAGTGATGGCAAATATTCGCTGCCCAGACATATAAGAGTGTCATCTAAAGAAACCCATGTTATTTCTTCCTTCGTTTTCTAGTGTGTTCATCGTGATCTTGCAGCAAGAAACGTGCTTCTTGGCAAGAACAATGTTGCCATGGTTTCTGACTTCGGCATGTCACGTGATGTCTACGTAAGCGGTGAATACGAGAATACAACCGGGGTATGAAAATCTATGTAGAAATCATTTATAGTATCTAGCTAGAAGAGTATCTAGGGTGGGTCTTGCTGTACTCAAACGAGTATTAAACTATCAAAGACAAGCGTGAATAGAGACAGAATAGAGTAAACGCAAAACCCTGTTTCCAGATAAACGGGCCATGCACAATCGAATCTGTCGCCGTGTCTTGGAGAAATCACCAAAAACTAATTGCAATTTGTTCTGCACTCAGATCGCATTTTTTGCGAGCAGAAAAACGTAGTCAAAACTGGATTTAAGGTGGCTAAAAACAGTTTCCAGCACTAAGATTTTGATGTGTCGCTATAACCACTCTTGCTGTGGTAATAGGTTACCGTAGCAACTAACAGTATGTCCTGCTTAAAACACCCTTAATTACAGCTTTGGAGACTTATAATTCAAAAACGGCACGGTGAAATCTTTTTATATTATCAAATTTTAATAAGCATGATAAGACGCAACTTTTGGCAAAGTTTTTAAAAAAATATGTACATAGGGTTCAGAGCCACCTGAAAATTTTGAGTTTAGAGTGGTTATAATGACCCATCAAAATCTAACTGCTGGAAACTGTTTTGAGCCACCTTGACAAAAATGCGGCAAAATTGTCCTGATAGTGTTCCTTTAAAGGCGACTAGCTGGTATTTCCTTCACACACAGTTTCCGAAACACAAAATCGAGATAGCAAATTATTTGTAATGAACTTGTTAAAAAGCATAGTCGAATAAAATCAACTACAGATCTAGGCTTTGTAGAGTTAGCCAAAGATCTGTGCTCTTGGTTTTGTCGAGTTCCGTTGAATTGTCGCTGAACGAGAAGCCTACTAATTCCTCACTTGTTTTTCATGGTACCTGAACATTATTTGATCAATTCGTTTGATTTGTTTCTTATGGTCTTTATCAGGGTATGTTGCCAGTTCGCTGGATGGCTCTCGAGTCCTTGGAAGATTACACTTACGACACCAAAACAGACGTGTAAGGGAAGAAAAATTTGACGCCGACCTTCTAGCAGTAACCATTTTAAACCGATGTCTAAGACTAACAACTTATAACTAAAAACTAATCAATCCACGAGTTTGAATGCCCATTAAAATTTACTGGACATTTTATGATTTTAATCATAAAAACCCTACCTTCAATATAGCATGTTGTTATATGGCTAGCCCCTTGAGCGTGCAAGATGAACCAAATTCTGTACCTTGATTGGCTACCCGAGCGGCAAGATGGTGCTATCTTGCCCGCTCGGGACTACCCGCTGTGTCTCGTAAGAACAATTTCCCCGAAAGCCATATAATAAATCCTTTATTGGGCGGGCCAAGCTTGTTCGGTCAAGATGGCTGAATATTGGTCCCGTTATTTTGGCCAATTTCCAGCCATCTTGACTAAACAAGCTTGGTCCATTTATTTGTCGATTATTTCTATTCAGAAAGTGGCGAAAAATACGAATATTTAAGAAACTTCAGAGCGGACAAACGAAATAAGCTTGCGCGAGTTTTGGTGGTGCGCCAGGCTCCAAGTTTGAAAAAATGGCGGGAATTTCGACTACGAACTTTGTATGTTTTCCCAATATTCCCGGTAAACAGCGACATTTTAACGTCACTAATGGAAAGCTGATGTATTGTTTTCGCGGGGAATCAATTTTCATCAGCTCGGACAAAATTAACCTAAAGACGGTTTCCGAGCCCTTTATTTTCGCGCGGTGTACAAGAAATTTCGTTGCAATGACACATTTTTATTCGCAAACACTCTTTACATACTGCATTCATATAAGCAACCCACTGAATATATAAGCAAGAGAACTTCACCGCAGGCAAAGGGAGCCTTGTTTTCTTAACAGTAAAATGCCGAGAAAAATTCATGCTTGCTCAAGTATAAATAAATCAACCGAGCGACATCCTCGCGCACCTTATTACAGTCCGCCGCTCTTTCCAACCATTGCAGCTTGATTATTACCTGAGTCCGCAGGTAGGGCAAGGGATGCGCAGAAAGCTGCGCAGTACGTTTTTCCACTCTGATCGAATTAAGAAACAGCAACTTCGTCGGCCCATTTTGGAGTAACTCTGAAGCCAAGGCGAAATGCTTTAAATGTTTTCACATAATAAACCTGTTAGTCTGCTCTTATAAAAGACCCTAGTATAAAAGTAATGTACAGGAACAAGACCAGCTGTTTCCCACAAATGATTTGTTAAGGTTAACTAATTTCTACAACTGTTCAAAGCACGTGCTAACAACTTAGGAGATCACGTTTCTTTCGCAGATGGTCATTTGGCGTGGTGTTATGGGAAATACAGTCTGGAGGTAACAGACTTTTAATCATTTTGTCAATATTCTCTCGAGTTTAATGAGCCCGGATAAGCGTCGGGAAAGGTTCCTTAGTTGCACATTAACTATTAAATGATGAAGTCATGTCTACTTTGTTGTTCATTTCTGTAAGGTAAAACGCCGTATTCTGGTCTTGGAGGCATGGACGTTGTCGATTTTCTCAAATCAGAAAAAAGACTAAAGCAGCCAGACGGATGTCCTGACGAAATGTAAATGATCTGTTTAGGATATTTATATTGTTGTCTGTGCATTGTTTTTGGTAATTAGATTTTCAGTCGTAAACATATTTTGTTTCCAAAAAAATGGTCCTGTAACCAGGTGGTTGATTCATGATTGAGAAACGTTACTCTGGTTTAAAAAATGTAAAAATGTAGTAAAAAATGTTTTGTAAAAGTCCCAACGTTTCGGCTAAAACTTCAGCCTTTCTCAAACCAGAGTAACGTTTTTCAATCATGAATATTTCGTTTCGTTTCGATTTGGTTGTGTTTGCTGGCTAGTTTGAGTTTAGTACAGTGGCGGATCCAGACCTTGAGCTAAGGGGGCAGGGGGCGGCGCTTTTGTTTTGCTTGCCTTGCCGGCTTTTCTTCCTACTGTGATTTCTTCTTTTTTTACCCAAAATAAGGGGGGGCAGCCCGGCCCCCCGGGCCTCTCCCCTACATCCCCCATTGTAGTAGTTCGGTTAAGGACAAGTAGCGCTGTGTAGACGTCAAACATTTCCATTTCTCAAAGTCGACTCTGATAATCCTAGACCCTAGTAAAGTTACTGAGGCATTCCTAGCATTTGAGTAATTTAAGATTGTAACAATTTATTTTTCTTGTCGTAATGACAGCTACGAGATCATGATATCATGCTGGCGCCTAGACCCCTCGGAGCGCCCGTCATTCAGCGATCTTGTGACGTCACTGGAGCGGGAGTTACTCAATAGAGATGTAAGTATTGAATGCCGCTGTTGTTGTTTTAGACGTTATTGTCGTTCTCGTTTCCTGTATCGGTCGTTTTTGTTTGTTTGTTTATTTGTTTCTCTTTTTTCTTTTGTACTTAGATAAAAATAATATATTAAAAGAAAAATACAAACGTCATTACCTGCTACGTTACATCCTATTGTGGTTAACCACAAAACTAAAACAATTTTTGAAATTTTAGCCAGCATGTGTTACGGAGCTAAAATGTCACGCGTTACGCGCATACAGTCTTGCGTGACATATGCCTCACCGCGTCATTGGAAACGGCTGCCGTTTAGCCAGTTTTTCCAACAATTCATTTACTTCCCACTGTAACCAAACTTGCGATGGAGGTCGCTTTTCTCTTTTTATGCCATTATACCGTTAACCTTTGACAATGTTTTTTTTTAATTTTCTTTTCTCTTTTGACAGCACTATCCGAAGGAAAAAGGCCTCGAAACTGAATCTCATGGAAATGTAAATTTTTCAGCCGAAGTCGATAGCCATGAAGAGCAAACCACTTCCTTCTAGTTCATCAGTTCAAGAAAAGAGGGCGAGCATGAGAGGTTTGCATTATGGTGTTTGTGTATCGAGAACAAGCGTTTAGTAATGTCCGTCCGATTTATGGAAGGTGCGCGCGTATGAGAGGCGGACGGCAACGGAATATGAGCCATACCTGGGACCAAAGTTGTGGAATAAGCTACCAGGCGAAATCGGAACCCTTTATTCATTTATTCTGTTTATTAGCCATCACTGTACAGTTTTAACAATCGTATTCCTAAATGTGATTTAAGTGTGTTGGTAAAGACGACAATTGCTCAAATTGCATTCTTTGTAATTCTTAACAGAATGAATTTTTCCTTCCTATTGTTAGTTTTTTTTTTTCCTTCTTCTGTTTCTTCTTAGCTAAGTTTTTAATAGTTTATCTCATTAGTTAATAGTTGGTAAGCGTTTTAATAATTTATTAGACAATAGTTAGTAGGTTTTTTATTATATGAAGCGTCCCCAATTAGTAGATGGGTGTTTCCCCTCGGCTAACAAAATTGCGACACGTTAATAAAGTTTATGTATGCATGTAACTAAAGGAGTTACATGCGATACTCAAAGGAATCTGTAAACTATTGAGGGCACCACAACGAAGCGTGAATCTGTTACGTTTTTATACGATTGATGGCTGAATGTGTTCACGCTTTAATCGGTCAGATGTTGTTAACCTTTATATACCGTTGGGTTTTCGTTGTGAGAAGACGTATCTAAATCATTTTGTGGTTAGTAGATGGCTTTTAGCTTGCTGTACAAGGGGATAACATTCCCCCCGCCCCGTTTATACGTCCCAGGCTTAATTATTGCACAAGATATGCACCTTATTTACTCGGTCGCTTTTCAGATAATACGCGCGGATATTTTACAAGTTTCGTAATACGAAGCAAGGAAAAAGAAGAGGAAGAATGAAAAGTGCGCAAATAATCGGTTAATTCATCGCATAAGGTATTCATTATTCCACTACATTTTTCTTGTTATTTATTTGTAAAATGGAGTACTACAGAGTAATAGAGAATACGGCAGTGTAACAACCAATCATGTTTAACGTTTTTGGATTCTTTTTCGCGTTCTGGCACATCACATTCGACGAAATAAGATAAAAGTTAAGCTAGTCCACATTATCATATTTATAACTTATTATACCTTTTTACTGCGCTTTAGCGGCATATCAAGCGAGTTTGGTCGAGCCATGTTTCGTATTCAAAATACCCATGGCGAGACCAAACGACCATGATATAGTAGCAAATTAAGTGACCATGATATCGTAGCCATATTATGTCAGTGACTTGATATCAGGACAGTAGACACGGCTTCTGATTGGCTTATTGCTAGTTTGTGTACGGTAAGGTCAAAGAGCGTAATAGAGAAATAGTGATATCAGTTATTCTATCTTTTGAATTGGAAAATGGTCGGTTTTCCACTCACTCGAGAAGTCGGACACGATTCGAAAGGACCGATGACTTGGCTCGGGTATAAGTTTCAATTTCGAACTTTGCCAAAATTTCCAAACAAAAGGCGCTTTTTAACAGCACCTTACTGCATCTACAAATGTTGCTTAGGCCTATGCTTATGCGCTAGCAACCTCATTCCCAGGGTTTCTCTTCCCTTGAACCGTTTAATTGTAGAAGGGAGACCCTGGGAACGAGATTTATGCGCTAGTGCCTTTAGTCTTTGTAATGATAATTTATCTTGCAAGCAATCTCATTAAACACACTTTATAACAGTGCCATTTGTCTGATGAGTATTATATTCTACCTGTGTCAAATGTACTGCAGGTATGTTTTGTGAAGTCAGCTAAAGGTAACAAAAAATACAGAATGTTTTCTCATTTCTCCGACGTTTCGGAGAACGATTTGGAAAATAATTCCTGGATAATTCAATTCAGGCGAAGACGAAAAGAAGGATGATTCACTGTTACTCGACTTTTAAACCTCAAAGCTGTTTAATGAACTAATATACGCGTATAGATAGTTTCAAGTTTCAAAGGACAATTCAGTCCGCGAGATTTAGCTTGAACGTAAAGTTTTATATTACAGTGAAATCCCGATTTTTCGACGTCCAAGGGGGAAACGAAAATTGGTATGAAAAATCAGCTAGTTCGAGAAATCGGATTCCACTGTACACAATATATGTTCAGAAATTACTAGAAACCGTTAAGTGTTGGTTCGTTTGGTTCTATCAACTGTCATTTCGAGCTAGTAGCCATTTTGCCGAAGAATCATTGCCTTTCTGGTCATTGTCTTCTTCAGTTGTGATTACGCTTCCTTGAGATTCCATTCCATTGTTTTTGTTACTGATATAGTGCTGCGAAAACAGGAAATAAGAAAACTATTTTAGTGATTACTAAAATTACCTCACTTGGTGAAAATCTTGAGAGTTTTATGGCAAGGAATTTAGGTTAAAGGCAAGGGATAAGGCAATCAACGGGTGACATTTTTCGAGTGGAAACACATTACTCCGCGTGTCGCAAATTAACGAAACAAAGAAGAGAAAAGGTGAATTTTCACTTTGAAGACAATGAACTATTCTTTATAAGGTATTTTATGCTCTCCTTTTCAAAGCAGGCCAAGAAAGGACGTGTGCAAACAGACATCTTAGGTCTAAGCGGTTAACGCGCGCTAATAAAGATGTCGAGTCGATGGTTATTTAGCTCCTTCCAAACACAAATTTAAAGAGGACATTTCACGACTAACGCATTTTGAAAAAAACCGGCCAATTTCTTAATTAATCTTGCTCAGTTGCAACAGAAAAAGGCTTAAAACATCGTGACATAGTTCCGTTAGTACACAATAAAATGTACTAAAACAGCAATTGGTTAACTTTCGTTATTGCATACATTACATAAATTACAGATTTTCTCCACTTACTCCTGTGTTTTCCAGCTCCTTCTCCAGTGACGTCACAAGCTCGCTGAATGACGGGCGTTTTGAGGGGTCTGGACGCCAGCATGACATCATAATCTCGTATCTGTTAAAATAGTTATAAAGTTGATTTTAATTTTATTAGGAAGATTTGTTTAATTGTTGCACAATTATTTCTGAGGCTCAGAGCCGCCCAATGAATGAGTTGCCAGTAATCGGATACCC